TTAAAAGAAAATCAATCATAAAGTTTGTTTGTCTCTTCTCGGATTCTTTAAGCCTCCCAATGCATCAAGTACAACTAGACTGAAATATACAAACTTACTTTACAATAGTTAAATCATATTCAGTGTCTGTTGGTATTTAAAATTCAGATAAATCAGCCTTAATGTATCTGCAGTAAAATGTCATTCTCAATAGTTATTGCCCAACTACTACTGCCTAAAAAATCTCTTCCATAGTCCACTAATGCTAATCCTGTCCAAAGGGACATTTCTCATCCTTTTTATTCATGCAGATTGTAAAGGATTTCCCCCCTCTGTCTCAGGTGAGCGCTGCGAAGACAGGGGACGTACCTACCACGAAAGCTGTGCCAATCAGTGTCCTCGCACCTGCGCTGACTTGTGGGATCATGTTCAGTGTCTGCAAGGAGCCTGTCACGCAGGTAACGCCCGGACTCCTTAATACAAGCAGCAGGTTGACATGAATGAAATAGTTTTGTGTTTAACTCTGGTATTTTATTCCCTTCATCATGACTGCTTTTGTTTTTTTTCAGGTTGTCGGTGTCCAGCAGGACAGCTGCTACAGGACGGTCACTGTGTGCCTATTCCGGAGTGTCGCTGCGGCATCCCATCAGGCAATGGGACTCTGGAATACATACCTAAACAAGAGCTAAATATCGACTGTAATACTTGGTAGGTCGTTTTTTTTTTTAGAAGTAATACTTGGTAGGTCGTTTTTTTTTTAGGAAAATGTTATCTATCTATCCAGCCAGCCATCCATCCATTCATCCATCCACCCACCCTATCTATCTATCTATCTATCTATCTATCTATCTATCTATCTATCTATCTATCTATCTATCTATCTATCTATCTATCTATCCATCTATCCATCCATCCTTCCATCCATCCATCCATCCATCCATCCATCCATCCATCCATCCATCCATCCATCCATCCATCCATCCATCCATCCATCCATCCATTCTTCCATCCATCCAGCCAGCCATTCATTCATCATCCATCCTTCCTCCATCCAGCCATCTATCCATCCATCATCCATCCTTCCTCCATTCATCCATCATCCATCCTTCCTCCATCATCCATCCTTCCATCCAGCCATCCATCATCCATCCTTCCTCCATCCATCATCCATCCTTCCATCATCCACCCTATCTATCTGTCTATCTATCTATCTATCTATCTATCTATCCATCCATCCATCCGTCCATCCATCCATCCATCCGTCCATCCATCCATCCATCCGTCCATCCATCCATCCATCCACCCTACCTATCTATCTATCTATCTATCTATCTATCCATCCATCCATCCGTCCATCCATCCATCCATCCGTCCATCCATCCATCCATCCGTCCATCCATCCATCCATCCACCCTACCTATCTATCTATCTATCTATCTATCTATATATCTATCTATCTATCTATCTATCTATCTATCTATATATCTATCTATCTATCTATCTATCTATATATCTATCTATCTATCTATCTATCTATCCATCCATCCATCCGTCCATCCATCCATCCATCCGTCCATCCATCCATCCATCCACCAACATTTGGTTGAAACTTTTAAACTTTTATCTCTTAAACCTTTACATTCAGTGTGTGTGAAAATGGCACTCTGGTGTGCACCAACCTGTCCTGCCCAGTGTACGAGCCCTGGAGCACGTGGAGCACATGCTCCACTTCCTGTGGGCGTGGTCAGAGGACAAGATCCCGCCTGTGCCAGGACAAAGAGGGTGGTCCTCCCTGTGCTGACACTGAACAGATGGAGAGCTGTGACCTGCCGCCATGTCCAGGTCTAGACACGGAGCATTCTCGAAATGATCTCACCTGTTATTGGTTGGCTCATAGAGATGAGGATGAGACATTATAACACAACCTTATTTCCCATCCTCAGTTGGCTGTTTGTTGAGCCACTGGTCTCCTTGGAGCGACTGCAGCGCCACATGTGGCGGTGGATCCTCAATGCGTAACAAGACAGTCCTCAGAAAACCAGAGCTTGGTGGGACGCCCTGTGCCGGTCCGCTTGAACAGCATACCGTGTGTAACACCAACAGCTGCCTGCCGGGTAACACAAGCATGAACGTCATTGGAGCACAATTACTGTGTTAGCATTTTCTAGTCGCAGTAATACAATTATAAAAATGTTGTTTTTCGCAATTAGGCTTTTAATAGATCTGTGTATTTCAATGTGAATAAGACTAAATAACAAGAGGACCTCGGTTTATGATGTCCTCGACCTACGGTGTTTCGTGGTTACGTCGCCATCTCTCATCAAGAAAGTATTGTTGTATCATTCTGACGTACGACTTTAAAATAAGCGGACGATTGTCACGATTGCGCTACATTAGCTTTCTTTCATTTGTATTTTGGGAACTTTTTGCCCTTTATTATGGCTCCTAAACTCAAGTTGGACTCTACTGATGTTTTCATGTGCTAGATTACGATGTTACCACTGTGTTAGCATAAGTAAGTGACATAGGTACTTATGTATAGTATGTGAGTTACATTGCGCGTTAGGAACAGAATTCCAACGTAAGTCGAAGACCCCCTGTATTTAGAAAAATACTTAATTATGAGTAAAATAGAGTATTATAAGAATAATTAATCTTTTTTTCCAGAGTGTCCACATGGGCAGGTGTTCAGTGAGTGTTCCGGTTCCTGTCCATACACGTGCGAAGACCTGTGGCCAGACACCCAATGTTTACTTGGTCCCTGCACACCCGGGTGTACCTGCCTTCCAGGACAGGTCTGGAATCAGTGTTTGCATGTTGTATAGCCACTTTTTTTTAAAGTTTTTTTTACAGTTTCTCTGTTTCCCCTCATAGGTGTTGTACAAAGGGTCATGCATACCCCACACCGACTGTCCCTGTTTGGCGCATTCCCTGCCGACTGGGTTCCAAAGTTTGAACGTTAGCACCGCTGAGACCACAGAAGCTCTCATAGCCCCCGGAACGGCCATCCAGCACCACTGCAATACATGGTAAAAGTCCACACACCATTCATTCACGGGCTGATTTAGCCAACAGGGACATGCTTTGAGCATATACACTGGTATTCGTATTCACTATTTGGATCTAGCCTGCCAAATTAGCCCTAGCTATCATAACTCAGAGGCTGTATCATGTGCCCTGGGGGGGATTATAATTCAAGCTCTAGTAGTGCCTGTGGTAGACCATCATGCAACCCAATGTAGCCATGTATTTTTCCAATGTATCCTGTATTCTCTAGTAGTGCCTGTGGTAGACCATCACCCAACCCAATAGTCCATAGAAATGTATACTGTGGCTGCAATGTAGCCATGTTATTTTTCCAAAGTATCCTGTATTTTTTCTGACTGTGCTCAGGCACTGCTGTACGTCACTGAAACCTAAGCTATCAGGATGGATGCTAAGCTAAGCGACAATAATCGATATCAAGAAGGCACATTTTGCTGAACGGAGGAAGGTTTTGACCAAACAATAAACATAACGTTTGGGACAGATACCCTACTTACTGCTACATGCTCTCGCGGGTTTGATGTGGAAGTTTCGACTGCCACAGCTCCGTCCGCTGGGGCAAGCACAACTTGCATCGCATGATAAAGTTATTGACTCCTATTGAGTCCTCTGCTCCACCGGAGCTCCCCTCTTGGCAATCCTCAAAATCCATTTTTTGTTCAGCACTAGCCATTTTCCAATGACAGGATAGCAGCGCCTGTCGTAGTCAACGTTATCTGGCTACATTATACCTTTCAATTAACGCAGATTGTTTATCCTCACATTTAATTTTTTTACTCAGCAACGGGTTCTTTTCAAATGTAGCGAAGTAAAATTCTCAAAATGAGTCAAAATGTACTTAAGTAGAATTAAAAAATTACAAATTACTAACAAAAACTACTCAATTACAGTAATGTGAGTAAATGTAATTTGTTACTTTCCACCTCTGGTATGTATATATGTGTGTGTCTATACCAAAATATATACCTATATCTGTATATATGTATAAATATTGGATTAACCATTTAACTCCTAAAATATAGCGTACCATCTTAATCTTATGTTATCAAGAAAAACACAGTACAATGAAAATTCTGCCTATGAAGCAGACTGTCATACGACGTCCTCTTCCAGCTTGAGAAATGTTTTATGTATGTTGGTTTCAGCCTCTGAAGTGAAGCGCATTTATTGATTTTAGAGTTATGCCCCTAATCCTTCATACATTTTACATGCGGGGTGATGAAAGTACCGAAAACAGCGAGGGGGATGTAATAAGGATGGTTGACCATGTGTTTAAATGGTCGTGCTAGGGTTCTATAAATAGTACACTGAGGGCATGTTAAAGCGAGGATTGTTCGGAGAGGACAGCGAAACTGTAAATAAACTTGACCCGATAAATATCGGCAGACAGAGGAGACTGCAGAATAAAAATTGAATGTATTTTTAATGGTGTGAATGGGGATTTATGGACCCTTTCTGCTGAGAGAACATGGTCTGACCCCCGACTGAAAACCTCATACACAGTGTTTTTATTGTTATTATGAGACACTGGCAGTAAGATGGCTTCATTTTTTTTTTCTCTCTCTCGAATTATCTTCAGGGGTTTAATGTCCTCTGGCATTTGTCCTTTACTGCACTACTGTTTTTCCAGGCACCCAATTATATTACGGCGGAAGATGGAGTGTGCGCGTGAAACGGACAGTAATGTCCTTTATTAATAATCTTAGTATTGTGTTGTAATGCCTGACTTGGCTTGTAGAAAGATGAGTCTGTTGAGCCTTGATTATTAGGAAATGTGCCCCTTTTTTGAAAATGTACTTATTATTAGGAAATGTGCCCCTTTTTTGATCACTTAAAAACTTAAAAAAAGTACTAAACTGTACCTGTAATGTGTCTTCAATTACACCACATAATGTTATTATTGTGATACACTATGGTTTTTGTGTTGCCGAAAAATCCCCATCAGCTTATTATTGTGATACACTATGGTTTTTGTGGCGCCGAAAAATCCTATCTTTGCACTAGCGCACACAGATCAGTCTGATTATTTTAGTCTCTGTGAATCGCAAACAGCTTGGTAAAATCAAACGGTGCAGTATATCACGGTGAATCAGGTGTTCGTGACTTGCTAGGTTCACTTTTCCAAACTGGACATTTTTAAACACCATCCGTATCTGCTTATGTGATCATTGAAATAACTCCCGTACACATCCGATGATCCTTTGCCTTTGCCTGAGTTGTTTGCCTTTCGTTTCAAACAAACAAAGCTATGCTCATGATGATTGGTCGTTATAAGCCGTGACACCTTAGACATTTGCCTTACACGTAGAAGGTTCTGGGTTTGAGTCCCAGAGGAACCACATGCCTCCCATCGCAGCCTGTGTAAGTTGTAGAGACTCTCATTATGGATTCCCCTACTGGGGGGAATAAGGGACTACAATTTATCATGAGGCCTACAGATAGATTTAAATCAAACAGGTCCAGTCCTTTTTGTGCTGTCACCTCTTACTCTCTAACTGCAACCAAACAAGATAATTCAATATCAGACATTAAATATTCCAACACTAACCGGACTGATCGATGCAAGCTTCTATTTTTAAAATTAGAAATGCTACGTGATCCCGCCTTTGATTATTAACGTGTTTTGAAATCCGAGCACTCGGTGTCTCAGGCGACGTGCACTCAAAACAATTCGCTGTTGTATCGTGTTGTCTTCTGTAACAGATAGTCTGGGGCGCAGTAGACGTTCCGTCAGTTATTTCAACTTTCTGTTTTGATACTGTGCAGCCACCTGTGTCACGTGATATTCTAAACATTTTTTTTTTCTTTTTCCTGCTTTGTTTTCCTCACAACTTTCTCCAGCGTTTGCCAAGGTGGAGTGTTCAACTGCACCTCAGAGAACTGTGATGGTGAGTGATGCTGTACCACAGCTGCATCTCTGGGGCTTCACATGGCGTGAAAGCAGCAGCTTGGTTGACCTGTCATGACAATTACCGACATGTGAACCTTACTATACTTAGTAACAGCTGCACCAACAGTTGGCTTAAATAACCGCGCAGCAGGCAAACACATCACGGCCTACGAATGTTATTTTTGGGTTCGGAATGAATCAAAGAAATTGCAAGGCAGGTTTAAAGTGTTGTAACGATACACTCACAATACATCGACTCACAATATGATATGATTTTATCACGACTTATCATACAAAATGAGCCCCAAAGTACGGTTTATATACTGTAATAAACTAAGTCAAAATTAGCTGAACATAGCCATGAAAGCTAGGGAGGGCTTGATACAACTGTTTCATGTCTGATACTGATACTACAACTTGAAGTATCTGCTGATACTGATATCAGTCCAATACCTTCTTTTCTTCTTCTTCGGCCTTCCGTGAGCTGTCGTTGCTGAGGCGATAGTGTGCCTGTTTACAGCGTGTTGTGCAAAGTTTAGTTGAGCATTGGAGTTTAGCTATCGGACTGCACTCTTACATCCTGATTTGATGAATAGCGCCTTTATAGTGATTCTCATCTGGTAAGGTCACATGTTCTAATGGAATATCCCTTGCGTCACCATTTCGTGTCCAAGTAGAGTTTAGAAAATCATGTGATTGCCTTCATTCATCATTGTAACATTAGTGGTTTTCAGATTCGGTTTGGGTTGATGTAAACACAGGGCAGTCCAACATGGCTGCCTACTCAGTACTGCAGTTCACCCTTGCACAAAGGCAGCAGTATAAATATGTGCCAATATTTCATAATATTAAATAATTTACACAATGCTTTGATGCACAGAGAAAGTCTGAATCAGCTGTCAGCACAAAGTTAACCCTTCGCTAGCATCCCGCTCATAACTGCTGTTAGCATTCAGCTCTACCGCTCACTCCCTTATCTCGTGAATGCGCCGGTGAAAAGGACATTTCTGCTCCAGTGAATGGGCCAGACCCCACGTGTAGTGAGGTCCTCCCTTATGTCAAGTGCTTGTTCTAAGTTTGACAAAGTTTCTTGAGATATTTAAAAGCTTGCTATCAAGCTTTTTAGTTCACATGACAAGCTAGATGTGGATTAATCATGATTAATCATGATTAATTGTCACCGTTATTATTCACAGTTAATCAGAATTGTCTTCATTCCAACATGTGACAATTCTTTTTTTTCTACATACTGCTGAAACAACACTAGAATTTGAGTTTATATTTTAGGTTTCAAGTTTCCCCACAGTGTGTGTAAATGACGGCCTGGGTGTCAACTCTGTTTTACAGCAGCGAACGAGGTGAATTCACCGTAGAATTATTGGATATTTAAATCACGCCCTTTAGCCGACTCGCTAAAATGCTACAACTTCAGTCTGTTAATGTCCTAAATAAATTAATGCGATTCATGTGTTCACTTTGACAGCCGAAATTGAGACGCATATTATGTCGCCCTCTCTTGGTCCTATAAAACTGTCAGAAATGCAGTACATTTAACAGATTTTTTTTCCAAAAGATTTTCTACTTTCTTTTGAATCAATCATGTATGTGCAACAAGGTGCAAACCAACCACAGCGGCTTCCTTAACGTCTGTTTGGGCCGACTACTCTTTAACCTCAGTGGGTTGTTGTCATAAGAGAAGGTACGGGACTGAGAAAAGGCACTCTGCAGTCGAAACAGATCTCCTTGTTCGTCTGTGTTTAAGGACATGCACACGAATAGGTCCTCTCCTGACACTGACACTTTGAATACTGAAAACCCAGAGTGTTTTGGGGGTGTTCTCTCAGTTACTTACCTTCTCCTTCCTTTCCTACTTTTTTACCTACATTGGATATTAAAAAAATGACAACAACACTTTGTCTTCTACTAAAAAGAAACCCGAAACTTTTAGAGACCGCAGAAATATTGAGAAAATATTCATAAACATAATCGATCAACTTAAAAGATCTCTTTTTTTAAAAGGTCTCTTTTTCTCACGGCTGTCTGGCTTCTTCTTCATCCATTCGGCGAAAAAAATTCTGTTCAGTTCTTAGGAATGGCCCATAGGGCTTTTACTTTTTAACAAAAAAACACTTACAACATAATAATATAGCATTTAGCCAGTGATACTCGGACTGTATGTCTATCAAATCGGACTCTACTATACCCACCAAGTATTTACAATTAAATAGCACAATTATATAATTAGATTAACCATTAAGAGATCAAAGTAGGGGTTCCCAAACTATGGCCTGCGGGCCGATTATAGCCCATTTTGCTTTTCAATTCGGGCCATCACCTATTGGTTCAAAATAAAGTAAGGGCTGCCATCATTTAGCCTTTTTTGCTGCATTACCCAGCTCTTCCACTGGACCAATAGAGGGTACACTCAAGACATAATTTTTAGGTTTGCTTATATATTTTTTTTCGCTTTCACTCTCTCTCACATTTTGCCACTAGGGAGGTCCAATATTAACTTTGGTTAGCCAATATTATCGGACATCCCTATTTGTCACTAATTTGAATCCTTCAGTAAGGATTGAATAGGTTAATGAGTGGAAAGGAGGAAACCAGACTGATGCTAAAGTTGGCACTAAATCCATAGAAGCTGAAGGATGTTGTCTCCCGCTCTAGTGGACTGTGTCTGGTCCGGCTGGTCGCAGTGGAGTCCATGCTCTTCCAGCTGTGGCGGAGGTCTGCAGAGCTCGTCCAGAAGTGTCCTGGAGCCCCACCAGTACGCAGGGACCCCATGTGAGGGTCCGGACCACCGCACCAGAATGTGCATGGCCCCCGACTGTGGTGAGTGAATAGGGATTGGCTTTATTAATGATTGAAATTGATTAAGCTGCAAATCTGTTTAAGGGGGAAATTAAAGGAAAGGAAACACGGTGTGAATCAAATGCACACACATGTCATGGGACCTTTCGTTAGCTTTAGCCAGCTATTTTGTTTTTGTTTCTTTTTTTTTTAAATACAAAGGCAATAGAAAATACCACCTTAATCTACTCATATCATCTGCTATAATTCCAATGGGATAGAGAAAAATAATAAGTATCAAGGTTCTTTTGCACTTTGACAAAAACATGTGCTCAACCAGTAGGTTGCGGTCTGCCAGTAGATCGCAAAGAATGTATTGGTAGATCCTAAGCATTCAAAATGAAAAATATATATAAATATAATTCTATAATGTGTAGTATTGACTATATATTGCATGCATGTTGTTGTAGTATGTTCAGTTTGTATGATTAAATATATATTTAACATTTTTAGTGGGTAGGTATATCACTTTAGCCTAGTCATTTGAATAGTTGCTCCCGAGCCAAAATAGTGTGTACACCCCTGTTGTGTTGACTTTTAAGCCTCCCTTCTCACTCCCTCCTCCCTGCAGCCTGCCCTGACGGGGAGCAATGGAGGAGGAAAAGGGTGTCCGAGGATGTCCAGCTGTGCGAGAGGAGCTGCGAGGAAATTTACACCACCTCTCCGGTCAACTGCACTCACGGTGGTGAGGGCTGCGTGTGCGAAGAGGGGCTTTATCGGAAAACGGAGGGCAAGTGTGTCATCCCGGCACTCTGCCCCTGCCATGACCGGGGCGTTCTGCGAGAGGTATATAAATAACCCACCATGCCTTGCTTATTGTAGTGTGCGTCTGAACCTCACTTCTGTGCAGTGTTTATGGCCATCACCAGTCACCCCCTATTGTATTACTTACTCATAAAGAATTGCCTTTTTAGAAGATGAGTGACGTGCCCTGTGGGCCATATTACACCACAATGCCTCTCCAGCGCTCCACCTCATCAATTATGTAGCCGGTGTCGTAGAGAGTGAGCACCCTGACCGCAACTGGGCAAGCCTGCGAGGAATTATTTATGAAGACCGGGGATATTATAAGATTATAAAAATTAATCACGCACTGACAAGAGGTCAAATCCCCCCTTTTGATTCGTCTTCCTTGGGACATTCTCTCGCCTTTTCATTTGCTCTCTTGTCTGGGGTTTTTCTTCTTCCTTCTTTTAAACGTCACATTCTTCTGCTTTCTTCACATCAGTCGTTAGGCTCTTGGGATCCTTTATCCCCGACTTTTTTTTTGTATTCTCACTGTAGACATTTCAGATAATCTGTCCCATCACCTCTGTCTCTCTGGGTCTCTCTCTTTATGTCTTTCTGTCTTCGTCTTTGGCTTGAGTTGGCTAAAGACCCACTAGGGCAGTGGGATAGGACCCTTTTTTGACTCGTGACACCACAAATTTCTGGCAACCCCAGAGACATTTCAGTAGCTGTCACTTGGGCTGTCAGGTGATCGCAGCCGTCAATCAAAATGCGCTAGCACCAATATTTTTGTGCATTTTATTTGAACTCAATTTATATTCATGAAAATGAAAGAATACAGCTTTTTAAGATTGCGAGTGTTTTAAACCGTCATTTTAAAAAACAACCCCATTTGAATTTCAGACTACCCCACGTGGGGTCCCGACCCCAAGGTTGAAAACCCCTGCACCAGGGTTTCTTGTTGCCTATCAGTGTATGGAACTCTGTAGTAGTGGCTAAGGACATAAAAAACTAGACATTTCAGATAATCTGTCCCATCAGAAAAAACTCTCCTAATGACTCCCTCTGCTAAATGACACACTAAACATATAATACAGTCTGTGTTGTGTGTTGTCGTATATAAACTGCATTTATAATCTGAATCATACACAACAGAGCAGCAGGAACTGCAGCACATTCACGAGAGGAATAGATCCTCAGCGCAGAGCAGTTTTTCTTTGGTGATTTTGCTCTGACAGACATCATAGTAATTGGCTGTTGGGGCGAAAACAAAAGTACCTGCATGTATGGGTCTGCCCAGTAACTGAAAATGTTGTTTGTGTGTGCGAGCCAGGCTGGATCAGAGTGGGAGGAGAGCTGCACATCCTGTCGATGCGAGAACGGGAAAAAACAATGCGAGCTGAGGTGCCCCGCACTCCACTGTGCCGAGGTGAGACACGATACACACCTGGGGGTATGGAATGTTGTTTAATGGATGTATAAATCTACAAATGTGTTTGTGAAAAGGAATCATCTTCATTTTTTATCTGTGGAGATTCTCATCCAGGTAGTATTATCCAAAAGTAGTTACATCAAGGGTTTGGGTTATTTTTTTTGTCATTGTGGCCAAATATGGGGAAATTGTGGACCAAAAGTGGCCCCCAGGCCAGAAGTTTGAGACCCTGGGACTTGTCACTTTCTCTCTCCTTATCCATCTCTGTAAGTTAGATTGTTCGTTATAGCAAACGGACAGAACAGCACAATATTTCTCCAAGGCGAGGAAATGGGTTCGGATTGGTACTATCCACGCAACATCTCAATTACTCTGAGAAAGAGACAAGAGGCGGCGCTCTCCTATGAAATATGTGTGGGGTACTTCTCTTGAAGTCTCCAGCCAAAGTAGATCAATACCTGATGGTCCACATCTCCCACTGCTCCGCTCGCCATCTCTCTTTAGGGGTCGGCTAAACAGTCACATCATATTGATTACTGTAGCGGCGGTTGAAGTTTTGAGCGGTAAAATTAAGGAACATTATCAGTATCTCAAGTGTGTCTTGCGGTACTATGAAACAGTTGAATACGTGGGGACGTTACTAGGATTGAGAGATGGGAGCAGTTAGTCCCAGGAGTGTGTTTCGAAATGCACACGCACCAGAATATTTCATCACACCTATAAAGGCTTTGTCGCTTAAATTATTATTTAAAGAACATTCATCAGAACCTGTTATCGGGTTCACCGTCTTTTTGCCTTTTCTCTCCCAGGATATCTTTTTTTTTATTCAAAAAATAAGCCAAAAGTAATGTTAAAATAGACAAGTACTATATATATATATACCATATGTACATATATATATATATATATATATATAATACAGTATATACAGTGGAACCTTGAGATACGAGCATCCCAACATACAAGTATTCCGAGATACGAACAAGCCTTTGAGCTAATTTTTGCTTCGCGATACGAGTAAAGATTTGAGATACAGGCACCCTTACAGATGCCGACGCTAGGTGGCCGAGACTTTGGAGCAGCCGACGCCGCCTCACTCGTTCACTTCGCGTGTTCGTCGACTTCCGTACGCATCTCCCGCGAGTCACCCGTATTGTGTTTGCGTTATCTAGGTGATTTTCTTTCTACTTTGTGCATTGTTCTTCGTAATAGTGAACAGTCGTGAGAAAGTGAGTGGTAAGTATGGTAGTGAGAAGAAGAAACGTACGATGACCATGGAAATAAAGCATGAAATTTTCAATAAGGTACGCTACGGAATCAAGTGTCTACATACGTTATTTCTTATGGGAAAAAATCATTTGAGATGTGTTTATGTGTATACACACACACACACACATATATATACTGTATATATATATATATATATATATATATATATATAT